GAATCCCACTTATTAGGTGCATGCAACCACCCCCATCCCTGGCCTAAGAATAGAAGATGTTCACAATTTAGGGTTCTTCCTCTTGGAATGGAATTGGCTTATAGTCACATGATTTTAATCATTCCATCTAAACCACAGCACGACTTACCATACGTTCATGCTTTTTATTTTTGGTATCCAGGGGAGTAGAGATAGGCCTTCAGGCATCTCCTAATACTTCCAACCATAACACTTCCAGCTATCACCCAGGGTTCCAATATTTATGTTGAATTTCCAAACTCTTCTGTTCATTATGGCACAGTCTACTTCCAATTGATTCTGTTCTCTAAGGCTGTTATTTCAGAAGTAGGGTGTAGGGTACAGGACACAGGGGTAAGGAGGAAGGTACAATTCATTGACTTATTTCCTCTCGAAAATTCCAGGGAAGGATTCAGGCTCTAATTTCTATTTTACCATTTTTTAAAATTAATAAGCAAGAAAACCCTTCTGGCATAGTCATTCTGAGTGGTACAAAGTTAATGTTTAATGCATAATCACTGTTTAGCCAAACTATAATTAGAAATTCTTTGGCTTCAATTTTTTTCAAAAGGGGATAAACATATGCAGAGGTAAATGACCATACATAGTTCAATACCTCATGTATCTTTTTAATTCTAACCTCAAGTTTAGAAAGTCATCCGGAGAACTCTAAGCAGAAATCACTCTATCTCAAAGATACTATCCTTGCTCACAGTAACCATAAACCTGAGAATTAAGTCTTTCACAAAAAAATTAATATTTTTAAAGGACAGGAGGCAGGGGATAGGTTCCTGAAACAAACCTCTCCATACCTTCCTTCATGTTCACATTAATTTTTCTATTAGTCCACCAAACCATACAATCATCCATACTGTTTTATTTTCTTTTTAAGAATTGTATTCAAACTGATGAAAATCTTAGCTGGAATTCAGAAAAACCCAATCTCTATCTTATATTGATTTTAAATCAAATTAACCTTAAAAGAGAGAAAATAAGACCAAAGTGAAATGATTTGTTCATAGTCAGCCCAACACAGCCCC